TTCACCACTGTTGCACCACTAGTGTACTTTTAGTCATTGAATGAGGTGAGAGACAGTCATTGAATGAGGTGAGAGACACGTATATACATACAATCACAAATATATATACATACATATGTACGTACAGGGAGAGAGAGAGAATGGTTGTACAGAGAAAGCAAGAACAGTGTGTGACTGTGTGCAATAATGATGCAAGCAAAATTGGAGGGGAGTTTAAAGGTAGGATCTGATTTAGGGAGATTTTTGAGGATTTTATTTAATTTATTTTCTTGTTAATTTTATGTGCATGCAAAATTTAAAGGAGAAAAAAAAGGCCCTATTAAATGCTTGTGTGTGTGCGCGCGTATCTGCTTTTTCATGGTTTGGTTTAAATTTTTCGTACGGGCTGTGCAGTATATTTTGCAGGCTTTAAAAGGAAAGAGTGATGTTTAAGTAAGGTGATTTGCTCAAAAAAGAGAGGGAAAAGATAAAAGGGAGATTTTTGAGGGGTGACATTTAGTCTATTTAGAAGTTTTTTTTTTCTTTTTTTTTTAAAGCTTATTGTGCTTGAATGATTGCTTTTGTGGACTAACAAATGCTACCCATTTAGTTATTGTATGGATTAATCACAGTTAAGTTGATTTGTGAATCTTTTGAATTAGCGGTCTAATTAGTTATTGTATGGTCAACTTAAATTTTAATGAATAGCTCAAATGTATAAATTCATTAGTATAATTTACTAGATTGTGCTTGACTAATTGTTTTTGTGGACCTACCCATTTAGTTATTGTACAGTAGTATCGATGAATCACAGTTAGATTTGATCTACAAATCAGTTTAATGAGCTGTCCAATTAGTCATTGATTTGGTAAACTTAGTTAAAGCGGATCAGTTGAATGAGCATAACATTGAGTTGTTATATGCAACTGATCGATAAAGCACAGTTGATTTGATTAATTGATCATAGATTTCATATCGAATACGTTGAATCCGTAAATTTGATTAGAATAGTTAATATCAACTAATTTGATTAACTAGCTATTCATTAGTATTTGATTTGTAAATAACTAAATTGAATATCTCTTTGATATGTTTGAAGTTTTCACTGAACTTTCAAATAGTTAGTAGTTCAATGTTGCTACGAATTAACCTATCATATGGCACTATGTATGGAGTTATTAATTATTATCCACAATGTTGTATTTACAGGTCTAATATAAATACACTTCAAACATCATCAATAGCTCATGATAAACTTCGCAATACTATTCCAACGTATATATGTTAAATGGGCTAGTCCTAACGGTTTCGGGCTAACCCTAGCGGACTTCGGATTAAACAATCCGGGCTTAAAAAATTTGGATTTAAACGGACTACCAATAAAAGGACCTAGTGGGTTTCGGGCTAAACGGACTATACGAGCTATAATAATAATAATAAATAAAAAGTTACATAATAATAATAATAAATAAAAAATTACACCACCCAACCCAAGTTAAACGGGTTAGCCTAGAGGTTTTCGGGCTAGCCCTAGCGGGCTTTGGGCTAAACCATCCGAATTTAAACGGGCTGCCAATAAAATGCCTTAACCCTGTTTTTTTCCTGGATAAACGGACCGGCCCGTAGGGCCAAGGACCATTTAACATCTATATTCCAGCATATCAAGTATGTTTTAAACGCACACCAAAAGAAAACGGCCCAAGATTGGGCTCGTAACTTTAAATTGGTAGAGTTTCCAGTTAAGTAGGCTTCAAGAGAGTTGGGCTTTATAACTTTTAGTAGTCTCCCCATAAAACCCGTCATCCAATCCATAATTGTACTTATATGGGCTTAGTAAGTGTGTGCATTTTCGTTTTCAGCTTGCTTGTCAACAGAACAAACAAACTTTTATCTAAAACTTTGGAAAAATAGCATATTTTATTATTATATATATAGAAAATTTAAGTATGCATGCATTTTCATTCGAAAAATATAACAAGAGCAAAATTATCACAAGTGAAGTACTTAATGAGTGCGTATACTACTTCATATAAATTTGCCATTTCTGGTTTTTACGATTCAAAGCTAGCAAAATTGCAATGTTTTTATTTGATTATTGTTTTAAGTCCAAATGAGCCATATGAAAGTTTCAAGTTCGAATACCACCATATTGTAATGTTGCTATATGTTTACCAACTTGGGTAAATATATATANNATTAGTGTGGCATCTTTAGTAGGTGCAATAGTAAAAACCTGAAAAACACGTTTCACGAATATAGAATGGGAGTAATTAAAGTGCAAAGTAGCAAGCAACCTATTTTTTATAAGTGCAAAGTCTCTTGTGATTTGTGATATATATTGTTATTCTATGTCGTTGAAAATTTTGAATTTCATTATTAATTTATTGTTATTATATTTAATGTCGTTGCATATATTGATTGTTATTATTGAAAGCTGTACATAAATAATAATTTTAATAGTCATTTTTTACTTCTAATATATATTATTTTAATAATCTTTTTTTACTTCTAATATATTAAATAAAATTTGGTAGACTACCATGATATAAGATATACATTAATACTTAAAATGTTAAACGCAAAGATAAGGTTGAAATAGACGGGTTAACGAATTCGATTAAAGATTTATGGAACTTGCTTAAAACATCCGAAAGTATCTACTTACAAAATTATTAGGAATTGACTGCAAATCTTTCAAATATGAAATATTGCATATAGTATTTACGTACAAAAATAACTGAATAATATAAATTACCCCAATTGGTTATATTGTTTCCTTATATTAATGTATAGAAACCTATTTAATATAATATAAAACACATATAAATTTAATATACATCTTATCCCAAAATGAGATTAGATGCAGTCTTTATCTTTTGCAATATATTATTATTTTCAACGCGTAGGAGCTATACATATATAATGAGATATACGCGTAGGAGATATACACGTTTAAAGAGAGACGATGCATTCATTATTATTTAAATATATTTGATCAACCGGTTTTATTATAGATATAATATATGTAGGAGATATTGCAATTAATATTTACGTACAATATTAATACATTTAAGTATGGAATCTTTCATATATAGATTTTAAATTTTTTGTTTTACTTCTACTATAAATAAGTTAATTAAATTTTGGTAGAATACCATATTATAAGATATAAATTAATAAATTAATATTCAAATGTTGAAGGCAATAGTAAACCAGTTATACTGTTTCCTAATATATATAGGATAAATTGCAATTAATATACACATTTATAGAGTTTGTTATGCATTCCATAATTTTTAACTGCGTAATCAACCAGTTTTATTATTTCCTAATATATGTAGGAGATATTGCAATTAATATTTACGTACAATATTAATACATTTAAGTATGAAATCTTTCATATATAGATTTTAATTTTTTTTTTACTTGTACTATAAATTAACTAAAATTTGGTAGAATACCATATTATAAGATATAAATTAATATATACAATTAATAGATACATACGGTACCCGTGCGATGCAATCTTCCACGATTATAACAAGTACATACGGTACCCATGCGATGCAATCTCCAAATCCAAAATTAATTGAAAATTTTAGTTTGTGGTGATGATGACTCGCCGCCAAATCAAACAAAAAACATTGTGTACAAAACAGTTTTCAATAATTTGTGAATTTTGTAGTTTGCGCCCAAAGTTTTACTTTTGTTACAAATATAACAAGTTCATTAAATTTAATACTTAATATTAAAAAATGTTTAGAAATATACCACCTCGTGCATCGCACGGGCAATTACTAGTTGTATAATAAATGGTGATTTGTCAATGAAAGAGGTAATTTTCTTAGAACAAAGATGTTGATTTAAATATGCAGTGTTATGGCCCAACATAGAGCGGCTATTTGGGTCCACGGACGTTCATCCACAGGCCCAATGGCCCACTCATGTCTATTAGCTGAACTGAATCCACTTTGAAGTTTATAAAGTATATAAATTAAAAGTTATTAGGCGCACGAGAAAACGTGGGTTAAAAGTGATTGATTTGAAAAGAAACAAAGAAAGTGAAATCACATGTTTCTTGTGCAATTTTCAAAAGAAAATGTCTTTTCTTGACTATTTTGACCTTATTCTTAGCTAACCAGTAATATTTAGACACTGTGTTCCCCGTTCATGTTATGTGCCAATAAAAGTTTCCCTAAATGTTATTATTGAGTGTTGAACATAAAGAAAAGGGTAATACTAAAACATTTGATTATAATACTAAAACATTTGATTATAAGTATCTCATCTCAATCCCTTCATTGACACCACTATATATTGTGTAAGGCAGTTATGTTTCTTCACACACCTGTATACTTTAAAAATAAAATTTCATAATTTAAAATACAACATAAATAAAAGTATAGTATTGTATAGTATAAATACATATTTTGTTAAAAGAATATGAATCCGCCTTAGCAGTCAGAGGACAGGTTGATTCACAATACTTATTGATTAAAAATTATAAAGTTATTTTATTAAATGTTACGTTTTATTTTTTAAAGTATGCTTTCTAATAAAAAAATTTATTCATACTTTTATTTATTATTTTTTTTTTTTTGCACTAATAGTAAACATAATAAAATACAAAATACAATCCAGCGTAAGCTAAACTTCCGATACAAATCCAAACAAGGGAGATAAAAAAGACGGGATGCTATCAATCCAAAATAAAGGTCCCGTCGACGAAAACGAAAGAGCCCGACTAGCAAGAGAATGTGCAACAATATTATGATCCCTAGCAACATGAGAACAAGACCCACAATTAAGCTTTGCAAAAAGTGATAAAATATACTTGGTGCAACGGATCGTACGGGGAGTTTTCAATCAACCTGATAACAACTGAGAGAGCGTCTGTTTTAGCACTTTGAAGAGAGAATCCCGAATCTAATACAAAGCGAAGACCATACCTGAGGGCAACTGATTCGACCGCAACTGGTGAAAAGGAACCTGGAATGCAAACTGCAAAGGCCGCCCAGCAAACTCCTTTCAAATCTCCAATCCAACCGCCCAAGCCAATTGTTGTTTCTCGAACCGCCGCATCACAGAATAAGGTTAGATCATTACGGCAAGTCCCTGTACCAAACCAGCTATCAAAAGTTGGCGGAAGCAAAACGCGATCCAAATCGAGCCGCCCCGACCGAGCTTTGTTGGCCTCCTCTTGCCAAGCCACCGCAACTGACCAAGCTTACTCCACCGATTTACCTTGCAAACCGCGTTTAATTCGGTTCCGCTCATGCCAAATGATCCATAGTAAATAGGCAAAACTAGTAAAATCGGCACCACGATCATTGTTCAAGAGCTATTAAAAAATAACAGAAAAACCCATACCTCGAATAGGAGTGAGAATAGTCCACCACCCGAAAAATTTCCAAAGTCTCTTAGCCCAATCGCACTCGAAAAAAATATGAAGATTAGACTCCCACCTCGAGCATTTAGCCTCCACTCCAATATGTCTCTTGAACAGGTTCTCAGCTGAAGGGAATGCCAAGTTACATACCCTCCAAAGGAACATTTTTATTTTAGGGAGGATGTTCAAATTCCACAAAGCTTTCCACCACCCAACATTTCGCGAAGACGAAGATTCTACGAGACCGGAGGATTGTTGTTTGAGCAAATGATATACCCACTCTTAACAGAGTACTCTCCGTTCTTGGAAAAGTGCCAAATCGAGCTCGAGCTCGATTTATGAAGTTCAAGCTCGACTCGATAAGAAAATACAATGGAGCAGCTAAAAAAATTCAATCCTGCTGGATAAGGCCAATGCTCGACTCGTCGTTTGCAGCCCTACATGTGAATAAATGTACTCGATTTATGAAGTTCGAGCTCGACTCGATAAGAAACAATAGCTCGACTCGAAATCAAAATGCTCGAACTCGACTCGAAAATTTTTTAGTGAAAAAGTAAAATTACCACTAAACACTTGTGTTATATTATCTAAATGTATATGTAACCGGTATTTTAGTAATTTAACATATATTTCAAGCTGCTCGACTAGTTGCTCGACAATGCAAAATATGGGCTCGAGCTCGACTCGAGTCCGGTCAAACTCGAGGTCGGCTCGTTTGCATCCCTACTCATATTATATGTATTTTTTTGGCAGACTTAATAGTTAGAAAATACAAATTCAATAGAAAAAAATCCCTATATAATATTCTCCTATTTGCAAACTCCTCGAAACAAACAACAAAAAAGGAAAAAGAATCGAAGGAAACCAAAATTGAGTGACCAAAAAATAACTGTGCGTGAAAAGCAGGTAGAATGGGTTCAACGAACAGCTCGCTGGTAATTAATTTACGTTGTTTTCTCCATAACTTCTCATTTGTTGTCACATTCTTCATAGTGGCGCAGCGAATTTTAACGTTGAATCTGACCCTTTTTTTGTTTGTCACTTTTTCTGCCGAGAAGCTGGGGTCCATCTCGGAGAAGCTCTGCGCGGCGATTTTTCCGATCATCGCCGTACTTGACGCCTTGATTTTAGCGGTCTCCGGCTGCTTCAACTGCCGGAAATCTGGCTATCGACGGAAATTGAGCTATGGGTACGAGGACATCGTTCGGCTCTCGCAGGAATCTCTTTGTAAGTTAAATTCGATCAATGTTATTTACATTGGCATTGAGGAAATTCCAATTGATTTTGTTTTTTTTCATGTTTGGTCCCTTGCACTTTATCTTGAGCTTGGAAAGTTTTGATTTTTATGGTTGTGGGTGAAGTTTCTGTGAATGAGGTGAAGGCATTGCATGAGCTGTTTAAGAGGTTAAGCTGTTCGATTACTGATGATGGATTAATTGATAAGGTACAACTCCAGGAGCTCTAATCTTCCCTAGTTTATTTTCTGAAAAAAGGTTTTATATGAAATTTAGCTTCTAACCTTAGTTGTTATTACTTGTTAGGCCGTATAACGGTCAGACAACCATATTTTTTCAACATAGCCGAAAAAATCAACGTAAATAAAAGTATGACATTTCATAGTATAACTGTATAAGTATATATTTATGTAAAAAAAAAAAAGTTTGTTGGGTCAAACCGCCTAATAGTTAGGCCGCCCCACACATGAATTTGTGTAGTTGCTGAATGAAGTTTTTGCAGTTTAGAGGAGATTTATGCTCCTTCCTAAGAATTCTTTGTTTTTTCGGGATTTTCTTCTAGGTTTACTTAATTATAAGTTGAGAAATGAGTATTGTTTTATGATTTCTCAAGCCCATTCGAGCTCTATATATGCATTTGAACGTATTAATCTATACTGTTGCTATTTGTTCACATGCAGGAGGAGCTTCATCTAGCTTTGTTCAGCACAGCATGTGGTGAGAACCTGTTCTTGGACAGGGTAAACACAATCTTCACTATTTCTTTTGATGCCATATTTTCGATTTTACTGCATATGCACAGAGACTATGTGAAAGAGATTAAAATAACATCCGTTTTTCGCCTACGCCAACAATTTATTATGTGGTTTCTTGTTTTAATAGTGAAATCAAGATTGATTAATGTGAGACCAGCTAGTGACTACTTGCTGCTTTCGTCAATTTCAATCTCTACTAGCGAAATGTTGAGTGAGATTTTTAGTTTTTTTTTTTCTTTTTTTTTTTTTT